TCCCCGACCTACTACCCGGATGCCATTCTCTAGGCTGCTGGCTGCATATCAGCAATTGGATCAGTATTGGCCGATATGGTTGGTTAATAATCGGCCATCGATATTGACCCAAAAAATTTTATCAGTGCACCCCTAATATTTGCTAGTATAATTGTTGTAACATGTACAGTTTGTTGCGGCTTATTGTTGTGTTACCTTTTGCTTCATTCATTTATAATTCCTGTCTCTGAAATGTAGAGGAAGAGAAATGTTTCGTATGTGGCGAACCACTAAGCTTTTCTTTTGATATATTAAGTGTCTTGCCAATATTTCTTCATATTCAAATATTAGAACCCCTAGTGGATTCTTCATTGTATTAACTACTGATGATGGTCTTCTTTTTTTAGAGCGAAAATGGCATTTTTCACCCGACCTAGGATAAATATTCCAACTCTCTCTGCGGATGATGTTTAATCACCATGAAGTATTTGTTTCCTCTGACCATTCTACAAATGCAGTTTGACTTTGCTGAAGTTATTTATGTGGTATTATGAAGGTACCCAGTCATTTGTACATTAGAGCATTCATCAGTTTAACATCTAGAGATTTTTAATTTTGTTCCATCATTACAAAAACCAGCATTAAAGTGACAAGATTGTATAGTTTGTATATTTAGGAATGTATTTTTGGGAAATAGAATTTTAAATAGGAACAAATGCAGCCTAAAGGGCTGTTATTCTTAAATAATACTCTGTTTAGACTTTTTTGTACAGATCTTTTAGAGGTTTTACTGCAATAAAATAAAACTGAAGGAACCTCAGTCCTCTGGTCTATGGATAATAACGCATCAAACTCTTCTCAGCTAAATATTTTGTACTATGTAGAGAATGCAGGGAACCATTTTTTTTTTTTTTTTAGTTCTAAAGTGCTGTGAAAGAATACTCTGTGAGCTGTGAAGCATTTGCATTATCCCGCTAGGTCATAAAAATGGGTGTGGAGTTCAGAATACTTGCACTTTTTAATATTTTTACTTCAGCTCATGTTTGTAATAGATCTGTTAACATAAGTTTCAAAAGCCCATTGAAACCACTGCTGTGGGATGAGGGCTGCAGGGGAACGCAAGTCAATTTTAGGTTTTCTTTTTTCTTTCCTACCCCCTCCCCCAATAAAGAGATCTTTCTGGATGAACCTCCTTCTCACTTTATTTTTTTTTTTTGTTTAACACAGTTAATTCACTGTCTGAGGAGCAGCTGTCTCATCCCTTTTCTAATCTACTAGCTTGAAATGGTGGTTCTTCCTTTTTTTAAATTGTTTGCATCCTGGGTGCCTTTTAGCAAGTGAGTCATTGGAACTTAAGCTCCAAAGCCACTTGGGTGCTTTCAAAGATTTTCTACCTACCTATAAAGAAAGTTGCCTAAGGAATATTTTAAAATTATTTTTCTACAATGTAATAAACAAGTGGGGCGGGGCACAGAAAGCAAATTCTTGCAAAAGCACCAATATTCCAGCATAAAACCATCCTGTTAGCAAATCTCAAATGATGTTGCATGGTAAACTGCTTGTCAGCTTGTCATTGATTCATTTGTGCAAGCAGTTTTCTTTTTAATCCACTTCTGATTAGGCATTTGGTTTATATCTAACAAATTAATCCATTTTAAGACTGAATGTCCACTGAAGCATCTCCATAAAAATTTGGATCTAATGCATCAAACATTATTCTATTTTTCATAGTATTAATATACTGGTTTTTTCTGCATACGTCTATGGATTTTTAAAAATAATTTGTCCTTTTGTATTGTTAACTTACTCTGGACTTTAAAATGACTGGGTGAACTCCAAAGAGCAGAGCATTGGCAGTTTTGTGTAGTATCTATCCTATGATATAGTGATTTAAGTGAGTAAGATTAGATTTGCCCAGTTTATACAGTCTGGAGAATCATGCAACAAATGTGTCCAAAAGGAAACAGAACAACTTCCACTCCAACCTCAACTGCACATCACAGCTACAAAAACCGATGTTGTGCTACAGGGAGAGAACACCACAAAGGCCTTTGCCAGAACAGTTAGTTTAATATTAATTTTTGTTATACTGTTGTTTTCAGTGTACAAAAATCAGACTGACTTTTGTCCTGATTTAGGGTGGTGGGAAGATTTTAGATCTCTAGTTTTTGCAGGGTTGGACACCTTTCCACCGAGCTCCAGTTCCAATTAAATAACTTTAACTAGGACTGCACGGACATTGGCTGTATCTATATTGTCCTATAACAACATGCAACCTAGGGCTGAATTCTGACAGAGGAAGGTTCTACAAATAATCTACTTGCTTGACAGAGAGTATGTATGGCCAAAACTCCATGGAGCTTGATCAGTCCCCATTACATTCAGTAGAGTTTTCCAATTTGTTTTAGTGGGAGTAGAACAAGGCCTTCATTGAGGACAATAGAATGCATTTCACTTAATCAAACAAGCTACATGTGAAAGATTTTATATGAACTGTTCATGTCCACTTGGTAGAATAAACAAGGATACCTGATGTTGCTGCTAAAATCAAAAACTCTTAAAGTTTTCAATGCTTGTATTAACTATGAAAAGCATCTACTGTATTGCTGTACTCTACACAAGTGAATTAAAATGAAAGATAGAACTTATTTTGTCCAGAAATACTCTAGTTACTACCGAGGTAATCACAGTACTAGCTACTTTGATGTAAAACACTTGGTAAGTTTAACCTTCTGACAATATTCATATGAATAAGCTTTATTATGCTGTTCTTTTACGACTTTGCAAGAGGAGTTTGTGAGAAAGTAAACTGCCTTTAGAGTAATAAAGTGACTCCAACGTGATATAAGTGGGAGAAGGGGAGGAAAGGGGAATCCAATTAAGACCAGACTAAATCAAATTATTAACTGTATGTGAACACACTTCCGCAAAGATTTCGCAACTCAGGATTTTAATACTCTCCCTGTGAAACACTGGATGGAGTTTGCACATCCTGCACAATGGAATGGGTGAGGAAAAGCATAGCATGTGCGTCTGCTCAGTGGGGACAGGGCCAGAACAGTGGCTTGAGCATAGTTGTCTTTCACTTTCACTTGTCTTCCCCATTATGTCAGCTGCATTGCAAAGCCTGACGTGCTGATTTTAACATTTTGTCTTACTGGTGAACAGAACCATCCTGTCACTTTAGTTTGACAATCCTCAAGGGTCACATGAAGCGAGTCATGAACTAGATTACAGTGACTAGAACTATAGGAAGAGAGATTTAGAGCTAGATTAAATGCATTCACCTAGGCACAATTACCAGCAGGCTTAATGAAGCACTTGATTGACGTATATTTAATTAAGGTCCCTAGACAGATCGGAAAAGTAAAAGGCTTTCCCACTGCTCAATTATGCAGTGACACAAAGAGAAAGAATTTGATGTTTTACTTCATTTAAGAATTGATTTGTGAAAGATGCACCAAAATCAATGCATAAATTGGAACTCCGAAACTGATTGGAAGTAAAATTTTACTTCCTAATATAAGTAATAGAGTTATGTGATTATATCTATATTCGCCACTAATTCACATGTAGTAACTGTGAGTGTCTTAACTGTGAGTGTCCTAATTTAGAACTGTTGTTGTAAATAAGGTAGAACTATTCTAGATGAATGGACTTCAAAGGTAAATCAAGCCGGCCTTAAGGCTGTCAGAGTTTGTAATAATTACATAGTGAATAAAAATCACCCTGGGTTTGTTAACTATTTGGATGCTGCAGATGCTATCCTAACTAACATGAGGCTTAATTTTTAAGCATTTGATGACTGCAGGCTTACAGAAGCTTATGCATGTCTGATCTGGTTTTATAAGGTGCATCTCTACCCTGCCTTTCTGCTTAAATTTTATGTGTTATGAGCATCTCTTTTAAATTGGACTGTTTCCCAGATATAAACAACCATTTGTAAATCTGTAGCATGATAATACAAATGTTATCTGTATTTGAAAAGTAGGCATGCTGGAACAACTTAACTTAAACTGTAATTTGTATTGAACACGCACACAGAGCACTGTACTGAATTGCAAATGACCTAGTCTGCCTCCATAAAAACACTTGCTGATAGCTGGATCTTGGTTTCTAACCACTTCATCCTAATACTGGTCAATGCCAGAAGTGACAAGCTGAGGGAAACTTTGGCTACTGACAGACACTCAGTTAAAGGCACAATGGGATCCGATTTCCTGATCCTAACAATCGCAGCTCCTGATGTGCCACACTTTTGCTTGGTAGAAGGTGCGACTGTGGAATCTGGGCTCGGATTCCAGTCGAGCCCTGTTGCTGACGCAAGAGCCCAGGTTCATGACAGGCAAGCAGCAAGGTGCCAGGTGCCTGCTGCACTTGTGCTGGGGACTGCCAGTGAAGTGATACGTGTAGGGGTGTGCAGCACTTGCAGCGCTTTGGTGCGCACCAGAAGCTGGGATTAGCTATCCGCTCCTCTGCCCCATCAGCCTTGGGAAGACACCTTTGGTCTCCCATTGCACTTGAGGTGCAACGGGGAGATAGGTGCTGTCTAATCATGTCGTGGCTTATTCCGTTTTATTGCACCAGTAAGGTGCGACTCCAGAGGCCTTCCAGACGCTGAGCTGCTGCTGCTTCACTTAAAGCCAAGGCTCCCTTGCTGGGGAGCAGCAGCTGCTTAAGGTAGCCGGGGAAAGTGACCGCTTCGGCCGGGTCGGCAACCGTTTCTGGGCAGTGCGCCAAAAACACCTGCAACCTCGTCTTGTGCGATGTTGGCGGCCAGCGGCGGAGCCCACCGATCCTCGTGGCAAAACGCCGTCGTGCCCCGCTCTGGCACCGGGCGAGGGCTGCCCACCCTGCCCCAGGGCGAGGCT